GGTGAATCCTCTCACCATCCCTGAGCCTCTGGCCTGTACCCCAGTTCTGTATGCACAAATAAATAAATAAATCTTAAAAAAAAAAAAAAAGATTAGATAGGAAAGGTGGAGGATACTCTGGGTCAGGGGAGGGAGGGAGGGGAGGGAGGGCTCAAGGCTAGAATGAGCAATGGGATTGTTCTTTTGGAGCGCTACTAAGAAGTAACAAAGAAGTTAAGTTAGTATGGTGGAAGGATAAAGGGCTGGCTGGAGATGGCTGGGGGAGAGAGCTGTTGAGAGAGCTGTCTGCCCTTGCCATTTTCAGGACTTGTAACGCTCAATTTCTAATAACGTCATCCTCAGGGGGCAGGTCTACTTTCTATATTAAACTATGAAAAACATGAGATGTTTCCTATTCTTTATTTTGTGCTAAGTCTTCAAAATCTGATGTGCAGCCCTCCGCCCCCCCAGTGGACAGCTGCTATTCAGACACTCCTGTAGCCTAGACCATGCTCCGGGCCTGCTGTCCACGGTCTTCCTCCCTCCTTCTGTCACTTCCGTCAAGCTGCTGTTGTAAGTTTTTAAAAGCAATACATTTTTGCAAAGAGAGCCTAGAATCCTTGTGCTAAAACAGTGAAGACTATTGGGGGGGGGGGGAGAGGGGGCAACACGGTAGCAGTAATAAATATTGGGAAAAGAAGCTACTTGATCATATTTCATGAGCTGGATTAAGTTCTCCTCACTATGCAGAATGATTATGGCTGATGAAGTCAAGACAGGTAAATGGAACGACAGAGCCACCAGGGCACGTGAAGGGCGGTGTGTCTCCACAGCTTGTCTTCCAAGCTCAGCCCTAGGCAAAGCTGGGCAAAGCCTCACATGAGCACCCCCCTCCCCCCCAAGCTGGGTTTCTAAGGCCGTGATTTTCACGACTCCCAGGGGCCTGGGGTGCCCTCCACAGTGACTTTCCTTCAAAGTCTCTGGGTGAGCCCTGTGGCTTGGCTTCCTCCTACAGTGGCACCGTGTGGTAAGCCACAGCCATCTGCCTGCAGAGCATCGTCCCAGCAGGTGAAAAGATCCTCGTCCCCATCACCTGGGATGGTGCACTGGACCGGGGTGGGGGAAGTCAGTGAACTTGGGGTGAACCGACAAGGCCGAGTTGGAGGTCTGGCCGGACAGGAGGGTCCCGAGCGCGGATCACATGGTGTCCCTGGCTTCCTTCGGTTTCCACACCCAATCTATTCCAGAAAACCAGGCCTCTGTCTCAGAGGTGAAAGTGAACAGGAGCTACTCAGATAAGGGATTGCAGGGGAGAGGTGCTCCTGAACCTCACCAACAAGTTTAAGAGGCAGA